TAGTCAATTCATTCAGCCTCGTCCTGAGAATTTTTAGAAATGTGGACTGCCAGGAGGATATACAAGTAAGCAGTGTTGCTTTGAGGAAACAAAAATAATGGTTTATGTGTTAATCGGCTAAATTAAAAAAAAAGAAAGGAACATAAAATAAAAGATGAGCATGTACCAGATGTGTTGATGGGTTTCTGAAAGCGCATTATTCATTAAGAAATCCATGGAGAGATTGTTATTCCATTATTAATAAGCACTAATGCCTGAAATTTCTGTGGGATAATTTCTCTAAAATGGATCAAGGACTTTGGCTCTTAATGGACTCAAACTTCCTCACCTTAGAGATTCTGCAAGGAGAGCAGACAGAGTTTATTCTCCAATGACCTGCTGAACGGAGATCTGGGGCACATCTGTGCCTCGTTCTTGAAGCAAGAATCCATGAGGACAGGGAGAGAAAACGTGTCTAGAATATTTCCAACCAGAGCATTCATCTTGCCTGCTGTGGATGGAAACATCAGCTCTGAGTTTCTGTCGTGACCCCGGCTCGCTGGAGGTTCCTACTCAATCTTTCCTAAAGGGAGGATGCATGCCTTTCTTCCCTCCTCTTTAATTTCTCTCTTTTTGGATAGACTGACAGCAGAAAGAACAGTAACTTGCACTTCACAGTCTCCATAGCAGACTTGACTGATTTTGATAGTTGTTTCATCTTCATGGGAGATGCCACCCTTTGTATTTTGAGACGTGATGCCTGATGGTCTGTGACTTGCAGCTCTGTCTGTTGGCTCCTGGCACCCGTGATCTTTCAGATCAACTAAGTTTCCATGGGAAATCCATGTGGCGGGTAAATGGCCCGGTGTCCTGAAGGCAGCATGGAGTGGCATGGCCCAATTTTGTTTTAGGCACACTCTGTCGGCAACATGGGGACACAGGGAGGATGCAAGGAGAAGTGGCTAAGGTTTGAGAGACAGCCTGCGTGAGATGGTGACCCGTGATGGGGGACTAGAGGACTGCCAAGGGCAGGGGGACATGCAGGAGAAACTCCAGAGCTACATGAAGAGGACCTGATAAGGACTGCACAGGGCTGCGTGGGAGCAGGTACCTGGGGAACTGGCATCTCTTGGCTCGGGTGACTGGCCGATTGCATGGTGTTGATGCAAAGAGAAAAGCGGGAGTAGAAGCTTTCAGATTTTAAAAGGTGTAGAGGTTGCTGCATTCTTTTTTTAGATTTTATTTATTTGACAGATATTGAGAGAGAGAGAGAGAGAGCACAAGCAAGGGGAGCGGCAGACAGAAGGAGAAGCAGGCTCCCTGCTGAGCAAGGAACCTGATGCAGGACTTGATCCCAGGACTCTGGGATCACGACCTGAGCCGAAGGCAGATGTTTCACTGAATGAGCCACCCAGGCGCCCCGAGTCTGCTGCATTCTTAACGTGACACAAGTCCATAATGCTAGGACTAGTTGTCCGGCTGGTAACTGGAAATTCCGATGTTGACATCAGGAGGGAGGTAAGTCTGAAACCGTCCTTTCCACACTGGCGCCTTCCTCGACACAGAGCTTTCATGCGTTTCTGTCTCTCCCACACCAAGTGAAGTGCCAGGCAACCCTTAAGCACTCCAAGGACGTGGCAAACTGAAAACTAGCCAACGCCGTAAGCCTTAAGCACAGCAGCTCTGAGTGTTCCACTGAGTCTCTGTGAAGGAAAGTATCACTGCTATCACTGTTCACATAGAGGCCAAGCGCTCTCTGGGGCTGTGGCGTTAGAAATCCATGAGGATGCTAGCTGTTCTCTCTGACCTCGAGCAAAATACCTTGCCAGGGTCACCATCACATCAGCACTGATATTCAAGCTGGCCAGTTTCAATTCCATGGCTCAGTATCTGCTCAAAATATATCTTTTTCTTTTTTAGAAGGAGTGTTTGTTTGTTCAGTATAGTCATAAACAGCTTTAACCTCTGCCTTCACATGGGTCTAGACTGTTTTTCCAGGGACTGAATTTGAGAAGTTTATTGCATCTTTATTCTGGACAGGCAGACAAGATGAAGTCGTATCAAATGCACACACTTTTGAAGGTAGGTATTTAAATACAGTGAAGATGCAGGTACACAAATCCAGCTACCCTATAAGTTTGATTGGAGAAAATCATTACATCAAATATTTCTTGAGCACCTTCTATGCACTCGACATGGATGGAGTAGGGCTTGGGCCACAGCGTAAATATACTACCATCTGCCCTACTGTAAAGGTCGAGAGGAAATACACAGGAAAATTGAATGTAGGGTGGTTAGAGCCACCATGGGGACGAGCGGGATGCGGGGAGAAGCTTCCAAGCTTCTTTCCAGAGTGAGTATCTTAGCCTCTGACACATCAGTGAAGCATTGATGCCAATCACTGATGCATCCATGTGAGCCAGACTGCCCAGTAGGAAAAGAAAGGGTGACTCAGGAGATGGGGCAGCCCCCACAGATGCCTGGAGGCCAGAGAGAAGACGGAAGATTGAGAGTGCGGCGAGTGCTTCAGGCTGGCGGGACAGAGAGCGTGCAGGGTGGTGGCTGAGGGCTTAGGTTAATGTGCCCGTGGTGTAGCAAGACAAGGGACTACAGCTCAGCCTGCAATAGGTCGATGGTAGGCCGGCGGTAACAACCTAAACATCAGAGAGACCGTGATGTGGTCACGTCTGTGAGCCTCGCTTTAGCTGTTAATCCACGGGATTTAGATTTAAAAAAAAAAAAAAAGTCATGTTTGAGCAACTGTGAGACACTGAATTATTAATAATTTATCCACGTGATATTTGTATTAGGTGTCCAAACCATAAATATATCAACTAATAATATTTTTTTTAACAAATAATGCACTTAAAATAATAAAAGTGAATTTTCTGGGCTTTGTGATAGCTATTCCATGCATGAACTGATTCATTATCACCCATAAAATAAAATATGCTTTCATATTTCTATCTCCTAGTTGCTTTCTGTTTTGTAACTATGGTGATCACACAACTTTTCATCCAAACTGGGGCTGTTTTGAGAGTGAAAGAGATGTTATGAATAATTATACAAAGACAACAGGCACGAATATGAACCGTCCTGGGCAAACCAAATGTATGATTCTTATTCAAAATGTGCATTTCATTTTAAGAATGCTTAAGTGATTACAATCATTTAAAATTTGGGATAGTGTTTTGAAATGGAACATCCTTTCTTCTTTTAACTGGACTCATTTCTCTCCTTTAATATTCTAAAGTTGGTGGACTACTCCATTTTGTTTCCCTAATTTCACCCTTACATTTTTGTCAGTATCCTGAGTAAATCCCGGGCTGAAATAGATGAAATAAAGATGATAAATCTCTTAACCATGATGCTTCCCAGCTGTTAAATGTGCATATAGCTTTCTAAAGCAGGATTTTCAAAGTCTAGGAGAAAATACTTCATTTTATTTTATTTTTTCTTAGCTCCCGAAACAGAAATTGGGATCAAATCCAATAAAAACTTTTATGACCAATGAAAAATGAAGCATTATTGAAATAAGAAAAAGGGAAGAAGTTGAAAGACTCACTAAGAGAGCTGCCAGACTGTAGCACCTCAACAGATCCCGATACAAAGGCTCAATATCCAGCTATTATTCAAGCTGGTGGCACATTATTATTCTTATAGATTGATACCTTTGCTTATTATCCCCTTGACTGCACACAAAACACAGTAATTTGAATCTAATAATGTCTGTAAAAACTTCCATTAATAATATGTTATTAAAACATAAAAAAATTATCTATGGCCTGTTCTAATTGATTTTTGTTTCTATAATTGATGGGCTGAGTTTCATTGTACCTGGGTACACCAGGACAACTAACTTTGATAATAAAGGAAAATAATTGATTTCAGGGTTGAAATGAGGCAGTTTGGTAACAGTGCTTTGTCCGTTTTCTTAGCTTCCACAGAGAGCAGCACCACAGGGCTACACAGAGATTGACGGTAGACAATGGATACATATTTTTGAGTTTTATATAGTTCCATGATAATTGAAATAGCGCAAGAAGATAAATCTCGTGCATGGCCATTTTATACAAATGGTAAAAGGAGTCTGTCTTTGTTGAATGACTCCCAAACCCCTACTGAATAAAATCGAAGGAAAAAGCAATTTCACATAAGGCTCTCCTCCTGGTCTGGCCCTATACCTTGTTTCACCATTAATTGTTCATAGCCTGCTGCAACACACCTCCTAGTTTTTACTTCTGCTCTTCAAACATAGTTCCCACTTCTATTCATTGGCCAAAACCTCCTGACACAGCAATATTTAGCATGCAGTAATCTCCAGAACATCTTCCTGGAGTCCCCAGATTAATTTATATGTTCCGATTCTGTACCTTTCCAGCACTTTTTAGTTGTCTTCCTATTAGCAGCTGATGTGACATATTTGATTTATCAGCATGTAGAACTCTTTGCCCTTAGAGACTACAAGTTCTTCAAGGACAAGGGACTACTGAATAATCTCAGGATCTGGTAATGTATATAACAGGATTGGTGCTCACAAAATATGTCCTAATTTGAGCTAAAATTAAATGTATGTCTGTGCATTATTGTTTGTAGTTGTACCAACAGAGAGTTAAACCAGACAATGATTTCTAAGCAACTGCATCTTGGTGAAGTGTAGAGTATGGCTCTCACTTAGATAAACCTAAGTTTGAATCTCAGTGCTGCCGTGTCTCAGGGAGGTAAGAAAAAAAATAAATGTAAGAAAATGTAACAATGTTATATTATGTAGCATTCTATACGTTTGGCCAGGGCATTTATTACATATAAAAATACTCAGTATTTGAATCATGTCATAATATAAACAGTTATCTTAAAGAAAGGCAACACAATGTATTAAAATAGCTGCACTTCACTTTTTTAAACATTGCTGTCAGATTAATTTTAATTTTTGTAACATAAAAGTGCCTATAATAGCCACTACAAATTTCTTTGATTAGCAGTTTATAAACACAAACAAATAAGAAATTAGTTTAATTTACCTTAATAACCAAATCAAATTTCTGGTGAAAGTCTCTGTTTACTGGCTCCAGGAGACTAAGTTCTGCAGTCCTAGGATGCATATGGAAAAATCGTGGGAAATCCTCAGGAGTCCCTGAAAGACATTGAGATTTTAGCACATAATTGAGAACAATACATAATATGTGTTTGTGCTATATCTATTTCCCTTCATTAACTGAGGAACAGAATCACAATTTCATTACTAAATTAACTTTCAAAATTTATGCAGTCTGGGGAAAAGAGACACAAATGTGGTATACAATTAATTAGCTTATGAGTAAGAAGATGGAGAGTATTTTTTATTTCAGTGATTTTCCAAATATCTTTTATTAGGAGAGCTCGTTAATTAATTTGAAACTTCATCACGTGTAAAGAGATATTATGTGTAGGGAGAGCAAATTTTGAAGTATAAAATTGTGTTTTAATGGTGCATAAATCTTAATTATAGCCTGCATGGTCTTCCACCATAACTTGTAATAAACAAAGACTAGTAATTTGTACCAAATATCAAGCTGCTTGAAAATTAAAATGAACATATTCTGGGTTGGGGGCGGAGCAAGATGGCGGACGAGTAGGAGACCTGGATTTCGTCTCCTCTCAGGAATTCAGCTGGATAGGGATCAAACCATTCTGAACACCTACA